GAGAAAATGGATAAAAATCCAGTTGAACATTATGCGCGATGATTAAAAGGACATTTATATTTGCCAAATGTATAATGGTTTTATGTTTCAAAATTAAATGCCGCAATGCGAATAATATTATTTCATAATGTGTAAACATTTCGATCGTTGCGACGCACCAAGCGTGATTCTGATTCCCCAAATAAAATAGATCTATTTGGATAAATAGCGACTTTTGATAACTTTTCGGTGTATTTTTTGAATTTTTTTTATTATAAAAATGTTTATATAATTTAAAGCTAGTATTAGATATAAAATATGTATTAATATAAATGATTTATCAAACTCTTATAGATAAAAATCTTATAAAAATAATAGTGAGACAATAAAAGATAAAGTAATTCAATATATCGGCACTTATGAAAGATTATCTAGATGATATGAAAGAAATAATATAATGATTAGAGGATAAAAATAATAATTTTTCTTTTGTTGTCATTTCTATATAGAAACGAATCTAAAAATATAATCTATATAATGTAAAATATAATCAGGTATTCATCTCAAAGGTATACATTTCAATTCACTTGATTGCATTGATCGATATGCATTATTATATGCACCCATATACTAAATGTATATCTTTTATTATACAAATCACTTAGATAACCGGTGTTACTGCATTGGAAATCATTATAATACACCTTGACAATAATGAGTTTGACATATAGATGCGAATGCGGGATTGCCTTGTACAAACACGTATATGTTAGTGACTGCGACATTTATGATCAGCTCTGAAAGAGGGAGAGATTTGCATGATACACTATTTCCAAAACATGCATCATATCTGTTATTTTCCATTATCCATAATCTTTTAATTTAATTAATTTTCTTGGAATATGATTTATATGCATCTATAATAGATCTCTTATATTGATCTCTTTATATTTTATTATACATTTATAATATAAACATCTAATATAATTGATGATGATAAATATTATTTATATATATATATATATATATATATATATATATATATATGTGTGTATCCATTTTGTTAGTAGAAATATTTAAAAAGTTAAAATAATTTTGCGTAACAATAAATATTTATGTGTAACAATAATTATTAAAATAAACATAAAAATAATATTAATATAATTTTCTACATTCAACGAGTCAAATAGAAGTTTTATTTAAAAGTAATTGTTATCTTTATTGGGGGTAGCTTATTAGGAAATAATTGTATGCAATAATGCTATTCAAATAACATTACTGATTCCGATAGAATCTTGGCTAGCGCTTTAATGTATAAGAGCAATATATAGCGCATATGTCATAAATAATTAATCGCGCAAATGAATATTACTACACGTATGGTCACACCCGCAGGAAAATACGATCAATTTATTTAATCGTGCATTATGTTCCCAGAAATCATGTTTATGAGTGCCTTTACATATTCACGAACTGAACTAATCAGTAATTATCGAATCACTTATTCATATCTAATTAAATTGTTACGAAGAATGCTTAGAAAAAAATTAATAAAAAAAGAAAAAGAAATAAATATTATTGAACTTATTTTAAATTTTACTAAAATAAATATGAGTAATATATAAAGTAATTTTTCTAATGATGTATATAGCACTTTATTTATTATATTGTAAACTAATCTCTTTCAATATGTTTACTTAACATCTTTACATTTTATCTTTTATTAATGTAACAATAATGTCATTTTCTCATATGTTTTATGTTATTTACATATTTATATTTTCAATCATAATTTAATAGAAATTATTCAAAAAAATCGATATTATAATACACGTGCACTATAGTGATAAATTTAATATTAGATCAACTGAAAAATTTTTTATCCAATAAGTTTATTCAAATTTGCTTTTTTCGCCTTCTTCTGTGTAAACGCTCATTTAAATTCCTTATTATGTAAATCTACGGATCTTTGTAGTATATATGTGATTGCTCATTTTTTTCTGACGACAAGCGGTGCAAACTGCTGAGAACCAGAAATAGCGAGTCAATATCAATTTTGGATGATAATTTAGGCTTAATTAGGCACAGACGTTCTCGCGTGCCGGATTAAAGTGTAAAAAGTATTGCGCTCAAAGCCTGGGATATTGCGCATTATCGCTACAAATTTCATTATCAGGGTATGGAAGTCGCGAAAGACAGTCGTGTCTGTCAATTGAAGAAACGATCTGTTATCACTGTTGCGATACTTGATAGGACGCACGACACGCTGTCTAGCAGAGAATCTGAATAATAGCACTGCAAACTTTCGCGAATGTAGCATTGTGGCAATATACAATGTGTGCTTTACAATTACCGTTCATATCTTCTCAACTGCTAAATACATACAATGTGCAATTTTTTTCTACTTTTTCTATTTAAAGAATATATTAGGTACATTTTATATCATTATCGTTTAGATTATAATTTAGTTATTTGTTTGCAAAAACAAAGAAAAAGATTTATGATTATAAAACACAGTGTTGAACACGGTATTTTTTGTTTTATTTAATGAAAAAATTAATAAAGTATTTATTTCAGAATTTAAAATAAAAAAATACTTTTCTCACACAAATGAAAATCAATGTTATCCGAAAAAAACTTTAATTTTTAATGTTGAATGTGTTTCTTTTAGTAAAATTACAAAACTCTCAATAAAGTTATTATTAAATAAAATTAATTTAAACGGCAAAATTTATCTGTTTATGTGATTAGTACTTAACTTAAGAATGTCTCTTTCAAGATTCTATGTTTAATTAAATAAACTGTCTATAGAATTTTCATTAAGGGAAAATTAATTCGTTCTCAAATATCTATTCATCGTGGCTTACATGTGGTTGCGAATATACGAGACAAGTTTTCATTCTTCGTAGCGCCCCTCGCATTAAACCGCTCTCAATTAGCGTTTGTTTAGTCACCGTGAGTCTTTTTAGAGCCAATCAGTACGTACTAAAGACTTGTAAATAGCGTCCTGTCACCAACGTCTCATCATTTTCCTCGTTATCTTTCGGTTCCTGTTATCTGACAATAGATTAGGTATAGCTTACGTTAATCATATGTGAGCCCAATTTAACGTGTATCTCGTACAAATGCGTGATGAGATAATGCCTGATCGTCAGCCCCATTATAATAATATGTAAATCGATCAGCCAAAGTCGGTGGAATCTTTCAATAACTGATATGTGACTCACGTTACGCCAAACAACTTTAAACCCCGATATCACGCGTCGTTAACTTGGAAATATTCTCGTTTTGGAAATATAATCGTTTTAGCAATAATATTTTTTCTCCCTCTATATGGTGGTAATGAAAAAAAAATATCATGTCACAAATAATTTAATCTGTCTTTACATCCAATCGTTTAGAATGTATAAGTACACGTGTTTAAGCACAAGTGTTGATTGCACATCTGTTATTTTACTTGCGCATTTAAAGTGATGCAAATTTCATGCGACTGACGGATTAAATGGATTGCGACGATTACACAATCTATGACAGACTGATCTTTCGATTGTATTCTTGAAGATACTACTTCAGATCAAATATATCGAAGCCAGTGTGGAATATGCCGATGGAATTCAATTTGAATGAATGATATTCTTTTGATCTTTTTTATCTCGTTATATAAGTTTCTCATATTTAATTCATATCTTAATATTTGTAATTTTTATTATATTTTAAATAAGAAAATAAGAATTATAATGGCAAACATTTGACATTTAATGCATAAATTATAATGTTTAGTTAATGTTTTAATGTATAAATAGCGTGAATTAACAGATATTGCTATAGCAATATCGTATTTCAAATACCATAAATGTACTATAATCACATTATAACGTACTGTAATTATATTACTTAGTGCTAGTAACATATTATTATGATCATTTATAGTTTATATTATTGTTTGGTATTTATCATATATATTATATACTTTTTATTTATTGTAATATATATATATATATATATGTATATATATGTTGTGTGTGTGTGTGTGTGTGTGTGTGTGTGTGTGTGTGTGTGTGTGTGTGTGTGTGTGTGTGTGTGTGTGTGTGTGTGTGTGTGTGTGTGTGCGCGCGCGCGCGCGCGCGCGCGCGATTTGACACAATATTATTTGTAATGAAATTCTCTGTTACAAAGAGCGTTCAACATATTTACATCTACTTACCTCCTGATTTGCTAGCAGTCTTGAATGCACCCTGATTGCAACTTCCTTTCCCTCGAGTCGATCACGTTCTATCAAACAACCCGCATAACTAGAAGACAGAGAGAAAGAGAGAAGTCACATTTTGTACACGTGGATTAAATCGACGTCTGGATTACAGATCAATGACGGAAGAGTTTCGATGTTTACTAATTAAAATATCCTTTCACAGTTCTCTTGTTTCACGGTTCGCAACGTTTCAAAGATTTCATGCTGGAAAATATTAAGAAAGTTGTGGAGAACACAAGAGACTTTCTTGTGTTTGAAACAAACTTATCTCGTTCTCTTAAATAAAAGAGAAATTGGTAAAGTAAGAGAAAAGAGAAGAAATTAAATATAGATTCATTTTCAAAGATGTTGCGCGAGGTATTTTCGTCGGCGTGAAAATTACTACCGGCAACTACCTTCCAGTCAAATGTAAAAAGAAACCCCAAAAATGGCAATTCAATTTGAGGCTCTTTTGAGTTCGAATAAATTTTAAATTATCAACTTTGCAAAAAGGGATACTAATGTGATCATAAAAAAAGTTAAATATACTAAAGTTAGCTCTCGTTAGGATAACGATCTCTTGGGAAAATAACGTCGAGGGATTGGAATAGAAATTAAAAGATGGCAGCGCTTTAAACATGCGAACCGTCGATTCACCAGAGTTTAACGCGTCGCGTCGCCTTGACCTGACGACGGCGAATTGCAGGGATAAATGCCGCCTATAAAAAGCCGTCGTTACAAATTCATGCAACCTTCACTACCTCCGCCCTATTGCTCGCAACTGCGACTGCCACGAGCGGAACGATCGAACACGAACCGCCCTTCGCCCTGTCACCGAGCGCAACAGTGACTTTCGCCTCAGTTTCTATCTATGGATCCGCCCGTGATGCAAGTCAATAGTTGCGAAATATATATAGATCGCCCTATAAATTTCGTCTAATTTTGGCTAAATGCTGTGAATGCCTTACAAACACACATGCATTTCCCTTAAATGCTGTATAAAGCTGTTATTAAAATTGTATTAAATTTTTGTTTTACGTATTGAATATTTCATTTAATGTATTCTTATTGTCTTAACATTGATGTTGCTAAAGAATTGATATCAGACTCTATTTCAACGCATTCATGTTAATAAATAATTATTAATGACTTCTTGTTACTCAGATTTCTGCAATTTATGTTTCATATTTTCTGCAAGTTTTGTTTTTATGTTGATTTCTTGTTTCTGTTATTAATTGATTATAAGCCATTCCTTAATTGCAAGAGATAATTGATTAAAAGCATCAATACGTTTTTATATTTAAACACGTCTAATTTTACTACAGACAAATATAGATACAAATTAATTACTGATTTATCCTATGAATATATATTTTCTTGTTAAAACTATATTTTATTATATATATATATATATATATATATATATATATATGCATTCTTAGAAGCCTGTAAATTTGTTTATCAAAAAGACATTGAATTTCAAGCTATTGCTTTCTCTAAATAAAAGATTAAATTTACAATCTATAAAACAATAGGATATAATCAATGTCTTACTTTTTTCTTTTGCTTTTTTTCTTTCGTTTGATATTATAAATATTGCACAATGTTTAATAAAGCAAAATAATTAAAGAATAAAATATTAAATAATGCACAGAATAAAATCAAATTCAAATCAAATTCAAAGCTGCTAAAACATATGATACTGACTTTAAAGTCACATCCATGCGATAAGCAAAAAAAATGTCGTCCGTAGCGAGTTCAGTGGCACTTATCGCTGGGAAAGTTTAGTGCACTTTCCGTAAGAATCGCGTGCACAACTGCTGCAAGCTGATACGCAGCGGGCACAGAACACAATATAACATGACAAATTATTTTTCATGTTCAGCCGTGACAGATTGACAAAATAAGACGATTTAAAACATGACAACAAAGACGCGAAGAATTTTTCGAAGATGTCAAATGGTGAGGATATCGAATGCCGATAATGCCCATAAGTTGGAAACATATGTATTCAATAACAATATCTTATGAATGCACTTTTGGTACATATTCATATTATTCTTAACTGATATTTTTTGGAATATAATAGCAAAAATTGAACAAAATGCGATGAAAAGAAGAAGCGTCTTTGAAAACACATAAGACACAAATGTTTTCTTTCGATCACATATAATTTTCTCAGAATTATATAATCTTTATATAATTCTCACGTTTATTCTCACAGAATAGAATAGAGATCTCTTTCTTAAAATTTTATAATTTTCAAAATGCCAAGAAACGTTTTTAGAACACTTTTTGCAGTAATTACGTAATAAAAGATAATGAAGTTGTGAGAATTTTCTTATCCTTTAAGAAAATTTTCTCTATTAAAATGAATTTTTTGTACGTTCTATTTCTCTAGTGATATTAAAAATATCTAGCCTCATTATAATGCTCTTTGAAACGTATTGTTAGTTCTATACACGTGCAGCCACCCCTTCTTTCCCAACAAATATATAACTTAATAACAACGTGACACGCTAGAAAAGAATGCGGCTCTTGGAAAAAATATATAAATCTTTTTTTGATTGTAAGTAAATCTTATCGCTTAAAATAAAAAAAGGTTAAAGTTAAATTAGACTTTTAACAACAATCATACAGTTTAAATGTTAAAGCATAATAAATTTAAAAAAAATTATTTGCAGTGTAATATATAAAGAGATATAGTTAATATAAAGAGATTACAGTTTTTATATTAAATTAATTATATAAAATAAAAGAGTCAAATAAAAGAATCAAATAATGAGAGAAATTAATACTATAAAGAAAAAGATGATGATTCTCTTCTACAAAAGGATGTTTTCTTTCTTTTATTATAAAATTATATTATAATAAATTATATTATTTTCTTATAAGATAATTCTTCTTTATTAATATTAATTAATTTATAAAAAATATTCCATAAATATACATTATCCAAAAATATATCTTATAGGAAAAATATTGCAGTAAAATACAAAATTTCCAAGTTTGATACAATAATAGGAAAATTAAAGAAAATTTAAATGAATAAATCAAAAAGGTTTTGCATATTAAACGTATATTAAATAAAATGTACATTTAGACCAATATATTAAGAAAACGTATAATGCACTAAAAGACATATATTTCATATAAATAAAAAAGATAAAGATTATCTCTTATGCATCGGATATATGATGGAAGAAAGAGGAAGAATATCTCAAAAGAAAAATATCTTCAGGAAATGGAACTCAATAGATTGAAACAAGACTTTCGCATCAGTGATGAGGAAGTCAAGTAATATAATTCGTTTGTATCCAATGACTTGATAAATTATTAATGCGGATTTATCGGGAATATAATTGCCTTTGTTTTTTTTCTAGATCATAACACTGACGCGTGTAAAGACGCAAAAGTTTAAGCTTATTTCTATAGAACTTAATCGAATATTCAAACCAATCTGTTGTTAATGCAACACCAAACAAACACGTACTGCGGCAAAATGGGGAGAGAAGCAGAACAAAAATACATAAATAAAGTAATCGTATCAAAAGGAGAAGCGGGACCAGGGATTGCGCACACGTGAGATTTTCCCACACAGTTTTACAGTGAGCAAATTGAAGAGTACCTTTTGTACGTGTATATCCGGATGTAATCACGGAACGAAGATGAGAGAAAAATGCATCGGAGAAGCGGGGACGGGTAAGACACGTCGCGCACGAGATCTAAGGATCCTTCTTTCCCGGTCGACAGGCGACTCGCATCCTTTCGCAGGGTGCGAGAACGAAGGAGAAGGCCGGCCAGGCAAGGTACGGCGTTCCCGTACCAACCCTCGGGCCTTTGCACCGAAGAACCGACAGTGGAGAGCGTGCGACGCGTGTCCGCGGCGCGAGAGTACTGCTTCTCGCAAAAGGTAGAGGCGCCTGCACGCTCTTCGGTATTGATCCACGTGGACGACACTCCTCCTCGTTCGTTCGACCAGCCCCACCGTCTCTTAGCGTAGCGTCCATCGGTGATCTGCCGATGGTTCGGAGTACCTTCGGTGTTGATTCATCGTCCTACCCGCCCTGCCCAGATCCACGGGGATTTCCTTGACAGATCGATAATTATCATGGACGTGATGGGAGAAGGTGAACGATTAAATGAGTTCGCGGGACGCGAGGGTGAAGTTGATGTAGCGAGTAGCCGATTAACGTTGTAGTCAGTCGCAAATCGCGTCTGAAATATAAATGCTACCTCCTGTACATATAGCACGGAAACAAAATAAATAAGATGCGGGGTTAAGCATTAAATATATACATTCCAAAAGTGAACAAATAAATCCTATTCGTGCCTTTCATTTTTTCAATTTAATTAAATTTCTCAATGGCGATTATATGATATTTATTGTAAATTTGGTGTGTTATATTTTGTATTGTATTTAAGGTCAGCTTTCATATTTATCTGTTAACATAAATATTTATAAAAGTTTGTTATTATTCTTTATTATACTTTTATGTAATGTTTATTAATAAAGAGATCAGATATTAATAATATTCTTTATTTAAATATATATATATATATATATATATATATATATATGTACACAGAAAAGAAATTAATTTTTCAAGACAATCATTTGTCTCTTCTTGAAGTATTGATTTTAACTATCAGGTGTTGATTTAGCTACAAATGGCCTATAGCATCAAAATTACAATTTTATTCTGAAAACATTTCACAGATCAATACGCAATTTTGAAGGTTGACTATTGCCAAAATTCCAATCGTTCTCTGACATACATACAAATCCATTTATTTACATTATAAACTATTCAGAACAAACGATCCAACCTAGAAACGATCCAACCTTAGAAGTTTATGTTCGGGGATGGCTCAACAGGACATTGGCACGGCAGGGGAAAGGATGTCTGAAGGTCGTTCGTTGCCCTCAAAGGCTACAGTCGACTAAAAATTAATTGCATTAAATTCTTCTATTGAAATCTAAGAGCCTAATTCGCATTTATAGAATTAAAGAAATAAAAAGATGTATAAAGGAGCAAAAAAATAAAAATATTAGTAATAAAAAATATGACAATATAATTAAAATAAAAAGTTTTTAGATTTTTGCATTAAATATTTTTTTATTAATCTAAAAAGATCCTAATATAGGAAATAGATGTAGCTTCTGTTATTGGATATTCTTCCCTCTGTTGATTATTTTTTTCTTTCATCAAACTTTTCTAACCTAAGGAAAGAAGTTAAGTGTGATAAAATAGTTCTATCCTAAAGCAAACTATATTATGTACTTAATACGACATAGGATTATAAAACTCTCAAAATAGAATCGAATAGAGAATAGGAAATTCTACTTCTCATAATGCAAATCGTTCTTCAGTTCTGACATGAATATATAGTCTTTTTTCTCTCTCTTTCATTTAAGATTAAGTTATTACCAAACATCTATCAAAGAAAAAAGCTATAAATTATGTTGAAAACTAATTGACATATTTTCGCTGAAATGTTAGATTTTGTGGAGAAAATAATGAAAATCATAAAAGTTACATTGAGACAATATGAATTATAAATAATAGATTTGTACTTTAATAATTTATTTTATTATATTAATTAATTTTATTATATTATAATTTTATTATATTATAATAAAATTTATATTATAATAAATTTATATTATAATAAAATTTATATTATAATAAAATTATTTTATTATATTATATTATATTTTTATTATATTATAATTTTATTATATCACCAATATTGCGAATAATTGAAAATTACAAAATATATAATCAGAACTCAAATTTGAAAGAAAATATTACATTATTATTATATAAAAAGACTGATAAGTTTAAATTGAAAAACAAATTGACTCTTGATTTTTGTTTTTGTTTATCATCAATTATTGTGAAACTATGTCTCGGTAAATTTTTTCGATTTGAGCTATCAAATTGTTATTATATTATATCTACAGATTCCGCAGACAGAACAGTTTAATACGAATCAATTACGAATCTTCGTATTATGCTCATTACATTAATTGCTAAATTGCTGATATTGATTATTACTTCTTATTTATTGAGTTATTTTTTCTTTTTACGAGATAAATACAAAAATTCAGTCATTTTATTATTAGATAAGATAGTATATAATTACATAAACATACAGAATTATATATTATACATATAAATATGTAACATATATTTAATGTTACATATATCTAAAAAAAGATTCTAAATTAAAACAAAATATGAATTTGCTATATAGTAATTATCAAGAGAATTCTAAATAACAAATAAATATATTTATTCTTCATAGAAATAAATTTTAAATAACAAGTATATGAGTATATAAGTATATAAATATATAAGTATATAAGATACAAAATATTAATTTATTGATTAGAATTATATCTTATAGTGATTTATGAAATAATTAACAATTAATTGACTTCTCCATTGCTTTGCCAAGAATATTTAGCGTCTAACTTTTGTCTTACGTATAAAATAACTGTTGTTGGTAACTTACTCAATCGAAAACTTTTGATACGTCGACATAGTAGATTCCTATATAATAATAAAGAATAGTTATCATCCAGACTATTAAATTAATTAATCTTTATGTTAGAAATTTTTGCGTTTATTAATAATTCTTTATTTATTCTTAAATTTAACTATTAATTTACAGCTTTTATCTTTATATCATCTTTATATTTGTATTCTAGATATAGCTTCATGTTTACATCAAGAATAACTCCGGCAGATGGCAATATCATACTGGTTAAAAAACAAATCCAAAACAAGATGTTTGTTAAAAGATATTTTCAAAACATTTTTAAGATATTTGGATATTTTTAAGATGTCTTAAAACATTATAATATTACCTTGTAATAAATGTACATTTTTCATTATTATTACTTATTTTTATTATTAATTTTGCTATTATCTTTTCTACATATAAAAATATCTATACATTTTATTTTTTTAAAATAATTTGAAACAATTTGAAACAAAAATATTAGAAAAATATTCATATTTAATATTGTTCAAAAAATTATACATTTATTAAAACAATAAAAACAATTCACATAATGTAAAAATACTTTACAGAAATATTTTTTGTATTTTTGTATTTTACAAAATTATTTGACGCAAAAAAAGAATACAATGTTTTGTTAGTACTTTTTACTTACATACATATAAATAATTTTATTATAATAATGTATAAGTAATATTTATCTTCTAATACATTATAAACGTCTTATAGATAAGTAAAACGGAAGATAAAAAATATGTAAAGGCTTTAAATTTATATTCTAGGTTTTTCGTAAACGTTATGTTATTTTAAAATATTGCTATATTATTAAATTAATTGCTTGTCATCTTATAGAATATATAACTAACATATTTGACTTGACAAGCGTCACAATAGATTAGGCATTATCTTCGTTCTAAAGATCAGTATCCTCGAAAATTGGCTAAAGCCGTTAAGCTGTTAAGTATGCATTCTCTTTGACAGGCCTAGGGTTCGATCATCTCACCATCTTAAAAAAACAATCATGCAAGTTTCTCGCCTCATAACTGACGTGGAAAGCCCGGACGAAATTGAACAACAATGAATGGGATTCCTAAATCGAGATGGTTATGAACCGAAAGAATAACACGGAAGCGAGACTGCCTGGAATAGCTGGCTTCGACGTGACGACAAGGAAAAGAATCAGATAAGGAAGCGTAGCTCTTCCACTGACATTTCCTTTGTTTAAGAATCGAGATAAGGCCAGACAAGGCCCATGTGGAAGGCCCTCTGTTTGAGCACGGGCAGGAACAAACCGGGCGCACCTCCTTTTCTCTCGAGTCAAATATTATCGGGTGCGCATATACGTATGTATTTATCCGCATAGTTTACTCCGGACACCTGCCTGCAACCTGTAGATCAGCATCTCGTCACGTCCACATAACCATTGTAATGACTATATTCACGATAATTGAATTTTTCACAAAGCAAATAATTGATGATCCTCTGATAGACGTTAGTTTTTAATTTTTATTTTTTGTGATATAAATTTTTCTTCTTTATTTATATATTATTTTACAATTATTTGTCTATCATCTTTGTAAAACTAAAACAGATGACTATTAGCTTCTCGCATTTCTATGATTAAAAGATGTAATTATTTATAATAAAAGTCAAACAAAAAGATTGAATAAATTGCATGATCGAACTGTTCAAAAAAGAAATTCCGAGTTCCAAATTCTGACAATTCGAAAGCAATTGAAAATCAATCTGTTTAATTGATTCGATTAAAATAGAACTCTTCGAATAGTCAAATAATAAAAATATTTTTAAAATACTTGATTTATATGATAATTTATTATGTAATTTATTTGGCTCTTTTTAATATTATATATATATATATATATATATATATATAGAGAGAGAGAGAGAGAGAGAGAGAGAGAGAGAGAG